TGTCAAATCCCTTAAGGATGTCTCTTTTCTCCTTTACTCACCGCCAAACACTACCTCCTGGCGTCAACCTCTTCAACTGCCTCGCACCTCTTAGACCCCTCTTCAACCTGGCAATCCTGAGCCCACTATCCAAAGAAAGATTATAAGACCTTTTGCCAATCCTCTTTCCAAGGTCGCCCTTCGTTACTCCAGCCTCCGAGAGGACTTCTCCCTGCTCAGGATATCGCCCCGGACTTTCTCTTCCTCCCTGGGTCCTGGCCGGTGCGTCTGGCTGCCGGATGAAGGACTGGTGGTAATGACCGTCACCGTGGCGGCTCCACAGCGCCTGCCCGTCGCGGACTTGGACTCTGACCTTCCACACGCTCCTGCCGTAGGGTAGGTCACGGTCCAGCGCCTGCGGAAGGAAAGGCAGATGGTGATGTTGCTCGCGATGGCTCTGAGGTTTCGTTCTGGTTACGTTATTGTACGATCTACTGAGCACTTACATGACCTTTGTGACTCCCGCATCTCTCTTTTTCTTATTCTTACCATATATAGAGAGGAAGATAGATAGGTAGATAGATATATAAATAGGGAGACTTTTGTTTATCTATCTATCTATCTATCTATATAAATATATATACATACACACACACACACACACACATATATCTATATCTATCTATCTATCTATCTATCTATCTATCTATCTATCTATCTATCTATCTATCTATCTATCTATCTATCTATCTATATACGAATAATAATATCTGTAATAATACCAATGTTATTATTCATAATTATACCAATGACTGTTCCCTTATCTACAAATAAGATTACAATTCCTTGAATATTAATTACCACCAGCATCACCGCTACCATCCATGTGATCACGATCATAATGATTATTAGTATAATCAATCTCGTTATTGTATGGATCATTGTGTCAACTTTAATCACCTCTAATTAAGGTCAATAAGGATGCTTCCCTCCCTTGTTAATGCTATTTAGTGCTTACTTGACCAATAACCGTATGATGTTCACAGTCGAATATGCTGAATTTCCTGTGTCAGTGTAGATTAGTGTGAATTAGGTGTAAGCATGACTGTGAAATGTGACGATTTTTTTGCATTATTCCTATAGAGACGGGAGCTAGAGAGAGAGAAGAGAGAGAGAGAGTGGGAGGGAGGAAGGGAGGGAGGAAGGGAGGGAGGAAGGAAGGAAGGAAGGAAGGAAGGAAGGATAGAGAGAGAGAGAGAGAGGAGAGAGAGAGAGAGAGAGGAGAGAGAGAAGAGAGAGAGAGAGAGAGAGAGAGAGAGAGAGAGAAGGAAGAGAGGGAGGAAGGAGGGAGAAGAGAGAGAGAGAGAGAGAGGAGAGAGAGAGAGAAGGGGGGGGGGGAGAGAATAATAATAAAGAAAGAGAAGACTTCGAGGAAGAGAGGAGAGAGAGAGAGAGAGAGAGAGAGAGAGAAGAGAGAAGAGAGAGAGAGAGAGAGAGAGAGAGGAGAGAGAGAGAGAGAGAGAAGGGAAGAGAGAGGAGGAGAGAGGAGAGGAGAGAGAGAGAGAGAGAGAGAGAGAGAGAGAGAGAGAGAGAGAGAGAGAGAGAGAGAGAGAGAGAGAGAGAGAGAGAGAGAGAGAGGGAGAGAGGAGAGAGAGAGAGAGAGTTAAAATATAGGAAGTAGGTGCAGTTTATAAAACTATTAAATGCAGAGGAAGGGATGGTTCACTGTCCATTTTCAAAAACGTAAAAATAGCTGCTACGTTTATATCAATATAAAAATTGAACAGTATTATGTAAACCTTCTAACATACATTTTTATATTAAGTAAATATGTTTCTTTTATTTTCCTATTCAAATGGAGTGTATCATCAACAGTATATACACTATAATTGCTAAAGACTTGTCACATATCAAAATAAAAAATGCTCACCATAAAATTTTCAAATATTTGATACACAGATGTAGACACAAATATATCTACGTTGGTATCATAAATACAATCTAAACACAACCATTTTCATCCATATCCATTCCTTATCGTAACGTCATCATCATTCATTATCGTTATCAATATCGTTCATCATCATTCATTATCGTTATCAATATCGTTCATCATCATTCATTATCGTTATCAGTGGTATCGTTCATCATCATTCATTATCGTTATCAATATCGTTCATCATCATTCATTTATCGTTATCAATATCGTTCATCATCATTCATTATCGTTATCAATATCGTTCATCATTCATTCATTATCGTTATCAATGTCGTTCATCATCATTCATTTTGGTCGTTCATCATCATTCCATTATCGTTATCAATATCGTTCATCATCATTCATTATCGTTATCAATTCGTTCATCATCATTCATTTTGGTTATATCGTTTTATCGTTCATCCATATCGTTCATCATCATTCCATTTATCGTTATCAATATCGTTCATCATCATTCATTATCGTTATCCATATCGTTCATCATCATTCATTATCGTTATCAATTCGTTCATCATCATTCATTATCGTTATCAATATCGTTCATCATCATTCATTATCGTTATCAATATCGTTCATCATCATTCATTATCGTTATCATATCGTAACGTCATCATCATTCATTATCGTTATCAATATCGTTCATATCATCCATCAATATCGTTCATCATCATTCATTATCGTTATCAATATCGTTCATCATCATTCATTATCGTTATCAATATCGTTCATCATCATTCATATATCATCATTCATATCCATATCGTTCATCATCATCATTATCGTTTTCAACATCGTTCATCATCATTCATCGTTATCAATATCGTTCATCGTTCATCATCATTCATTATCGTATCAATCGTTCATCATCATTCATTTATCTCATCATCATTCATATCAATATCGTTCATCATCATTCATTATCGTTATCAATATCGTTCATCATCATTCATTATCGTTATCAATATCGTTCATTCATCATTTATTTTGGTTATCAATATCGTTCATCATCATTCATTATCGTTATCAATATCGTTCATCATCATTCATTATCGTTCATCATCATTCATTATCGTTCATCATCATTCATTATCGTTCATCATCATTCATTATCGTTATCAATATCGTTCATCATCATTCATTATCGTTATCAATATCGTTCATCATCATTCATTATCGTTCATCATCATTTCATCATTCATTATCGTTATCAATATCGTTCACCATCATTCATTATCGTTATCAATACCGTTCACCCTCATTCATTTTGGTTATCCACATCGTTATAGTAACAGAACATTGCAGAACTCTTTACACGGAGTAAGAGAAGTTCTCCAGTCTGAGAATTGATAGCGAAATAAGCCCGTGTAGCAGGGTAGCCGTCCACGCCGTCCCCTCGGACCGTGTAGAGAAGACCGTGTTGGTCTGTTCGGTCCCTGTCCCTCGCCTGGACCTGAAAAGTGAGGGGAACGAAGAAAGGAAAATCCATTAATGGGAATACGGGTTTGTAGACGGGTCACATTTTCCTTTTGTGTGTTTTTTGAAGCATGCGATTTTTTGAAAGGGTCGTCAGATCAGAGTATATTGTGTTATGTGAGTTTAAATTCCAGAGGTTAGAGAGATCAGATCAGAGTATATTGTGTTATGTGAGTTTAAATAGGAGGATATATCAGTTATATTTAAAGGGTCGTCATTATATATGTTATGCGATTTAAGGGTCGTCATATCAGAAATATTGTGTTATCGATTTTAAAGGGTCGTCATATCAAATATATTGTGTAGGCGATTTTAAAGAGTCGTCATATCAGAATATATTGTGTTATGCGATTTTAAAGGGTCGTCATATCAGAATATATTGTGTTATGCGATTTTAAAGGGTCGTCATATCAGAATATATTGTGTTATGCGATTTTAAAGGGTCGTTATATCAGAATTATTGTGTTATGCGATTTAAAGAGTCGTCATATCAGAATATATTGTGTTATGCGATTTTAAATAGGAGTCATATCAGAATATATTGTGTTATGTGATTTTAAAGGGTCGTCATATCAGAATATATTGTGTTATGCGATTTTAAAGGGTCGTCATATCAGAATATATTGTGTTATGCGATTTAAAGGGTCGTCATATCAGAATATATTGTGTTATGCGATTTTAAAGAGTCGTCATATCAGAATATATTGTGTTATGCGATTTTAAAGAGTCGTCATATCAGAATATATTGTGTTATGCGATTTTAAAGGGTCGTCAGATCAGAAGAGATATATTGTGTTATGGCGATTTTAAAGAGTGTCATATTATAATGCGATTTTAAAGTCGTCATATCAGAAATATATTGTGTTTATCGATTTTAAGGTCGTCATATCAGAATATTTGTGTTTATGCGATTTTAAGGGTCGTCATATCAGAAGATATATTGTGTTATGCGATTTTAAAGGGTCGTCATATCAGAATATATTGTGTTATGCGATTTTAAAGGGTCGTCATATCAGAATATATTGTGTTATGCGATTTTAAAGGGTCGTCAGATCAGAATATATTGTGTTATGCGATTTAAAGGGTCGTCATATCAGAATATATATTGTTGTTATGCGATTTATAAGGGTCGTCATATCAGAATAATGTATTGTTGTTATGCGATTTAAAGGGTCGTGTGCATATCAGAGTATATTGCGTTATGCGATTTAAAGGGTCGTCATATCAGAATTATATTGTGTTATGCGATTTTAAAAAGGATTGTTCAGTCGTCATCATGTGTTATGCAAGTCGTCATATCAGAATATATTGTGTTATGCGAGTTTAAAGGGTCGTCATATATCAGAATATATTGTGTTATGCGATTTAAAGGGTCGTCATATCAGAATATATTGTGTTATGCGATTTTAAAGGTCGTCATATCAGAATATATTTGTTTATGCGATTTTTAAAGGTCGTCAGATCAGAATTAGTTGCGTTATGCGATAAATCATATGCGTTTATGCGATTTTAAAGGGTCGTCATATCAGAATATATTGCGTTATGCGAT